AACAATAAAAATACTAGACTCTTAACTCTGACGGCAGGTAAGAGTTCAGAGACCATGTGCAAACTCCCCCTCCACCTCCCCAGAAAGGAATAAATAACAATCAACAATAGAAAAAACTGAACTCTTTACTCTGACGGCAGGTAAAAGTTCAGAGAACACATGTAAACTCCCGCTTCACCTCCCCAGAAAGGAATAAATAATAATCAACAATAAAAAAACAGAACTCTTTACTCTGACGGCAGTTAAGAGTTCAGAGAACACATGTAAACCGCTCCTCCCCACCCCAGATATTAATAAGTAATGATCAACAATAAAAAAACTCAACTCTTAACTCTGACTCATTAATAAGTAATGATCAACAATAAAAAAACTCAACTCTTAACTCTGACGGCAGGTAAGTGTTCAGAGAACAAATGGACTCCCCTCCCTTCCCCAGAAATAAATAAATAATGATCAACAATAAAAAAACTGAACTCTTAACTCTGACGGCAGGTAAGAGTTCAGAGAACACATGTAAACCCCCCCGGCCCCTCCCCAGAATCCGACATAGCCCCAACTCTGACCGAACTCTGAACTTTCTCTGAAATGTTGGAAATATTCAAGTCTTACGCAACTCTGACGCAACTCTGAAGTCGGTCCGTCAGGGCTCTTAACAAATAATTTCTATTTTCCTCTTTGCTCAGTGATGAAGATATCCGGGTNTAGTCGAGAAGGGAGAAATTCGATGACTCTAAATATCAACTTTTATTCGTCAAATATGTTGTGAGTTCAAACAGGGAAATATATACCCGCAAAAAATGAACTCTCAACTCTTGGTAATGTNAAACTTTTCTGGTGTTTGATGAAACGAGATTTTTGATGATGAAACGAGATCGTTCACTGGTTTTTTCAAACGTTTCCTCTTGGCTGGGAGCTGATTGTTATGATCCCTTTGCCACTTGTGGAGATTTTCTTTATTTTTAATCCACCCTTGCACTGTTTTTTTAATGAACACCGAGCTCGAAAAAAATAACCTCAATAGGAAATCCATCGTCCAATTCTTTCAAAGCTTTCAATTTGATATGTAATTCGATTTTTGTGATTTTTCTTTTTCTCTTCACCACACTCATGTGAGGTTATGCCCTCACGCNAGCAAGTGAAAATTCTCTAGCTGGGGGAATACCGATGTTAGCTTAGAGGTGCAATTTTTTTCGTAAGCTAAAATAGATTGTAATGCCCTATCATCTTTAACCCTCAAGGCAGTTAAGAGTTCAGAGGACAGATGGACACCCGCCCTCCCCNATGAACACCGAGCTCGAAAAAAATAACCTCAATAGGAAATCCATCGTCCAATTCTTTCAAAGCTTTCAATTTGATATGTAATTCGATTTTTGTGATTTTTCTTTTTCTCTTCACCACACTCATGTGAGGTTATGCCCTCACGCATATGCAAAACACCGACCGGCAATACAGCGCTTCCCCTCTAGAGCTCTCACCCATGCGTGACGTCACGCACGTAGTGGGGGTCGATATTCCCCTCGCTCGGTGATGAGTGGTGAGCTAGAGACGTGGAGAGTTACGGAGAGTCTACCGTATTATCTGCAACATGACCGTTTTTGTAGACCTACATTGAGGGCTACAAAAAAATTTCTAACAAATATTTTGCTATCCCCCTTAGATTCCGAGATAACACTCACTGAAAACGGGCCAATAGTCGTAAAAATCGAATTGAACCGTTTTACCGCTTGGTTACTGAATTTTGTTTCTTATTTCTTAATTATGGACAATGCTATATTCACGCACTGAGAAATATTGTTAAAAAATATAAAATATGAAATAATCTTTGTTTCTTCTTTGCAAGAAAAATTAAGGGAGGCAATTGAAAGGGAAAGGAGAGAGAAAAAATTATCAGGGAGGAATTCATGAAACCACTCTCACGATTTCTTGAGATGATGAATTATTTTGCAGGTCTGCATCAACGTGTAACCACCCAAAGGATTGAAAAACGCATTATCTTCTCATTTTGATTCATGAAATTTTTATTCATCGTACATGTTGTAACGGAAGCAGTCTTCAAACAAATCTACCACGACATATTGTTTCAATGGCTTACATTGGAATAAAAATTAATTGACGTGCTACCAGTGCATTTGCAGGAGAGAGAGAGAGAGAGAGAGAGAGAGAGAGAGAGAGAGAGAGAGAGAGAGNGAGAGAGAGAGAGAGAGAGAGAGAGAGAGAGAGAGAGAGTGAGAGAGAGAGTGAGAGACAGGCAGATATGGTGGATAATTGTAAGGTGATACTCGTAGGATTATATGTTTATAAATTTTCTCGTGAGGATGCTGGTCAACCACACGAGTACCACATTCCAATGGCTCATCCGACACTCGACCTGACAGCACGCAATTCCTTTTTTTTTCGTGTCGTGTTCTCACCATAATGTTGTAAGTTATAATAAAATTCGCGTCACGTGGCATGGAGTTTTTGTAAGCACGAATTAGCGTTGCAAAAGAAAAAATAGAAGAGAGAAAGAGAGAGAGAGAGACATAGAGAGAGACAGAGACATAAATGTAATTGGATGGCTCGTGCTATCCGATTGAAGGCGATATGACAAAACACGCGGAAAAGACGACAAAAAAAAATTAAAACAATGCATTATAACAATAATAATAAATAAGATGATTCACTTAATATTTTATACATGAGTTTTTGTTTCTATCTAATGAAAATATGCGTCGTATTAACGAATTTCTTCCTTTGTGTCATCACGTCAACATTTTTTCGGTTTTCGTTTTCTGAATTCCAATTCATTCATGAAAAATCAATTTTTAAAGTATGTGAAAAAAAGTAATATTCCAAAGTCATTATCGTTTTCACTGGTCATTGAGACCGATAATATTGAGAGCAAATGCCGCTGATGTTTCACCCTTCTTGCCAATTGCTCGTGCTGTGTATTGGCCGATATCACTGGCTGTGCAGGATTTGATGCTTACTTCGAAGGATTTGTCACCATCTGAACTGAATGTATATCTACTGCTCGACTCGTCTATTGGCTTGTTGTCCTTCAACCAAGTTACTGAGGGGAACAAAATCAAAGTGAATATTGTTTTCAAGTGTTGGAGAATTGGCAACGAGGGGAGATGAATGGACACTTTTTCTGTCTGTTTTTTACGGTCAATAGTTCATTGAATTGCAATAAAATTTGGTAAAATTATTATTTAGCACAAAACCAGTCGGTTTATACAGTTAATTTCAATGAAATGTGATTTTTGTTTCCACAGAAAATAAAATTCTTATTTATGAGACATGAACATTGGAAAAAAAGAGCCAAAAGTGTTCATTTTCTCCTATCCTCCCTTGTTACCTAAAATTGGGTCAATAGGTTTTTACCTTTCAATGGTGCAGTTTCAGTTCTACAGGTAAAACGTACAGCCTCCCCTTGGTTTATTGTTGCTGACTCTGGGAATGTCGCGAACACTGGGCTCTTTGGTTCCTCATTGGGAACTAGAAGATGAATAAAAAAGTATTATTTAAAAAATATACTCGAAAAAATTTCATGCCTGGAAAAACGCAGTGGACTCAGTAGAAAATTCTATTAGTTTTTGGTCGACTCTAATTAAGAATTCCGCAGCTTCGTTGTGCGTTTTTTCCCAATAAACAATATAAACTTTTCTATAAAAGTACAATATAAACTTTTTTATAAAAAAATCTGTAAAATTTCATCTTTCTATACAACTTTTTCTACTGAGACATTTTCCACAAGAATTACTCGACATTAATTTTCCAAGTTTTTTTCACTTCATTTTTCTTCTTTTTGCTGAAAAAATTAAACAAAAAAACTCACAACATTTGTGCCAAGGAACTTCTATAGATTTCTATTGTCATGTTTGGAATTATTTTCAAAATTAATTTTTTTAGAATTTTATTCTCTCAAAAATTCTGACTTATTCGTTGCCCACCTGATATTGAGCTGCTGCCGATGCAGCCCAAATTAACGGGCTAATGCGCCACACGTGTCCCTGAAAGCCCCAAAATCGCAAACGCAGCGCAATTGCACTGTCTTTTCGGTCACTAAATTCATTCTTTAAAAATTTTTCTTTAATCACGCCTAACCGCCGAAACAGCGCGGATCAAATAGAGTAAACTCTTAGGGCTCTAACCTCGCGATCGTAATTTCGGAATGAGTTACAAGCCCTTCCCGACGTTTCGTGGGATAACCCGAGTAATCTGAGCAACACCAAATACGTACACCTACGTAAAGGGTTGACTCTGAGGGAAAACGGTCGGTGAACTGCAAATCGTTTACTGCTTTTTCGTGAAATAAGTACATGGACACAATGACTAAATCATTAAAATTAGAATTGAACCTTTAAATTTTAAACATAACATTGAATTAAATCGGTTCAATTCCCAAAAAAAAAAAATTTCTGCTGCTATAAGTAATTCAAATCTACTTGAAATTGAGTGAAATCAGTGTGAAACCGAAAATATCGTTTACAAACTACATAAAATCTTACCGAAAACTACTTTGGATTGTTCTAACTTTGGTCCGTATAAAATTCCCAAAAATAATATATTTGTTTTGGCATTTCTTGCCGTTGTCAAAATTGTCAAATCAAATTAAAATCTATTAATCATTTTTTGCGTCGATCGAATTCTCTCTCTACTTTAATTTCTGCTTTGATTTCTTTTGTGTTCGAGAATCTTCAAAAGCAATGAATATGATAATGGGTATTCTCTAAACTTCTTATCTTATTATTTTTCATCCCTATCATCATTTACTATTAAATATTAAAAATATCCCCACGGGAAGCTGAACGATAGATGCAGATGAGCCTAACGCTTTAAAGGGTAAGGATGCACAATAAAAATAAATATTATGTTATCCCGATAGCGGAGAATTGAATCTAATCTATTCAATGTTTAATTAAATTTGTTATCTAAAATTTTCTTGTTATCACATTGTAGAGCCCAAGAATTCTTATAGAAAAATTCCAACAGAATAAGTTATATAAAAAAATCAACATCTACAGATTTATTCATATAAACAAATATCTATTCAAAAATGCCCGAATAATTTGCACAATTTTCCACAGAATTGGTGCAGAAAATGATATCATTTTTCAGTGCAATGAATAGAAAAGTATAATGAAAAAAATCTATATTCAATAGAATTTTTTAAGGGAAGACTAGTAGGAGTTTTAAAAGTTGTAGGCTACTGAAATCAGATTTCTCGTACATTGAAGATTGATTATGTACGTCTACAAACAAATAATTAGTGCAAAAAAACTAATTGTTTATTGTTTGATTACCCCACAAACGCTAAAAATATTTAAAATAGTCCGCAGCCTCCAATTTTTGAGCGAGAGGTTTTTTTTCAAAATTTTTGTAAAAATTTATGCAGTAACAATTACGAATTAGTTTTTTGAAATGCAGCTCCTACACAGCTAATTTCGTTATTATCATTTTTAATGAAAAAATTGCACTATTCATGTAAAATAGCCCTGAAAAAATATTTCTGAAAGAATCGAGAATATATTTTAAATATTTTACAGATAATTTTTCTGAGCATTTTACATGAATGGCGCAAATTTTTATATAAAAAAAAAACGAAATTAGCTGTGTAGGAGTCGAATTTCAAAAACCTAAATTGTAATTGTTACTGTACACATTTTTTCACTAAATTTTCAAAAAAAAAAAAACCTCTCTACACGGAGAGAAATTTTCTAGAAAAATTCTAGCACGAGTACTGGAAAAAATCACAATCCACCGGCTGTGAAAAATTCTGGTGCTGTTAACGTAAAATTTCTTCGTATTTCAGGTAAAATTTCTGGGGATTTCTGTGAAATTTTTACTGAAATACGAGGAAAAATTCACGTTTTCATATATCATCGATATTCGTATTCATCGACATATATCATCGATCTTCAATACATGAGAAATTTCACTCCAATATCTCACGACTTTTAAATCTCATAGTAGTCTCCCGTTAGCGAAAAAATGAAACTATCCTAAGGAAACTTACCAAGGACATTAAGGGTACACGACGAGAAACTTTCACCAGCGTCATTGAATGCCTCACAGGTATAAGTGCCTGAATCCTCCGGGAATATTTCAGCAATAGTAAGTTTATAGATATTCGCCTCATTCGTGTATTGGAAGTCTTTGCTAGGCTTTATCTCCTTGTTATTGTGTAACCATACAACATCGAACTTTTTAGCTCCAATAATTCGACAACTGAGAACCACAGACTCTCCATCCTTGACAAATGCCGATGCCAGATGATCGACGATTTTCGGTGGTTTATCACCACCCGATTTCTTCCCCCCAGTATTGGCCATTAGTTTGACACTCAATCTACATGATGTACTGGCTGTGCCCACACTGTTCATCGCTGTACACTTGTACTCGCCCTCGTCCTCAGGGAATACTTCATTGATTAATAGTGTAGCTGTGCCATTCTTGTACTTGAGATCAATGACCTCAGACGACGTCAGTGTCTTTCCAGCCTTCGTCCACTTGATCTGGGGCTCTGGGTCCCCATCAACCTTGACCGACAACTCCAACTGCTCACCATCATTGATGGTGAGATCCTTCAATTTGTTCGTAAACTCTGGTGGCCTCATCGAGTCGTCTGATGGGTGAACCAACTCCCTCGTCGTATTCCTCGATCTCGATGGACTTCCCGTCGAGTCCAATCTCGTTCCATATTTTTTCATGCTCTTTTTGTCGGACGAATAGTCCTGTGTTATTCGACTCGATGATAATGATGAATTGTGTTTTGTGCTACTGTAATTCTGGGATTTGTATTCCTGCTTTATTATTATTGGTGGAGGCGCTGGCTTGATGGGCATTTCAATGAATTTACGATCTGAAAATTGTGATAATCATTGTTATTTAGGTCATTTATCAGTATGAAGACGAGGGGGGGGG